GTTGTTACCATCATTTTTATCATTACATCAAAATATATTATTTTAAATCTATGTTAAAGTTTCAAAAATTCTTTTATTTTATAATGGATTTGGATATTTAACATAAAATAGGAAAAGTAAATATTTAGGCTATACACATACAAAAGATTATTTGGTTTTATATATCAGAAATATAACAAATGTGTACAGAAGATAATAAGTCTTAGAAAATGATTAATAATTAGTTTTGACATGAATTAAAACTGTTATATAAATATGAAAACAACTTCTAACAAACTACATGCACTGTAAGTGAATACAAAAATATTTGTGTTGCTAGAGGATATAAAGTTTTTGCAGAGAATCTGAATATATTTTTCTAAACAGAACTAAGAGTTTAATTAAAAGGCTTAAAGTTTGAAGCTTTCAAACTTGTTTATACATCTCATTATTATATATAATTCTTATTGTTTAAGGTGATTTAACTTAGTACCATATTGACAGACAAACAAATAATGACACTAAATCAAGGTTTAATTGTATTTAAATTCAATATCTGTATATAGTTAACATTCTTTATCAATATAAAGACATCATAAAGATGATCTGTTATAAAGTTGTGTCAAGCTAGTTAATTTTTGCGGATTCATTCACACAAGAAGTCACAACGTAACGAATTTACTCAAACTATCGTATTGCCTGCCGAGAATGTTAGCGACTTAACTCCGAAATTGTCAATTTTGAGTTATAGGCAGTACGAGATTCCCAATCATTTACGGTAAAATGTCATTATTCTACCAAAATCTTCGAAATTTATTCAAGTAAAAAGTAGCAACCTAAACCAAAAACCAACAGAAAAAAAGTGTTTTTATGCTTTAGTGACATAGCTAAAATGTAAAAAATTACACACCAGCTCGAAAGACAAGAAATATCAATGGGATAACTCGAGTAGTCAAATAGGAACAAAATTCGACAAAACCTTTGAAAGCAATCAAAAGGGCATTTTTTGGAGTCATGTTCCAGACATTTTTAGGAGGCAATATACTTATCAAAAGAAAGCGTATCAATATATTGCTGGATTAATAAAGCCATTACACATTCAAATTATTGCTTTCAGTCTGGCAATTTATAGATCAGAACTTGGTAGAAGTTAATTTAGGTCATTCATTATAATATAATGTTAATTAAGTGTAATTGTATAAACATCAATGTTAAATATAATTTCTGGGTAGGTGTTACTTCTAGGTAATTTGTACACTTGCAAATTACCTAAAAGTAGCTCCTACACAGAAATTTGAAGTGTAAGTGAAAAAAACTGAACATAAATAAACAGAAATGTGTTTCAAATTAATTTAAATCCAACAATGTACAATTCATAAGTAAGCCTTCCATTAACATAAGGTTTTAAATTAAATAATCCCTACACAAAGAAAAAAAATAAGCATATTATACCTTATCACAAAAACGATCCTTTCCCCCCATGTTTATAAACGAAAAGCAAAAGAAAATTTTTAAAAATTCAATAAATTTCAAACCACACGCACGCCACGTGAACGAAACAGACGTGAAAATGACGTTAAATAAACTTGTAACAACCGCGTAACGACGTCACAAACAATTCTTGTCACCAGCGTTGCCAGATCTTTTTAGTGTTTGTAGCCAAAAATTTTCTAAAAAATAGCCCAAAAGTAGCCAAATCAAAACGTTCCTTTTTAATAACCCGAGATTTGAAGATAAAATAAATAAATAAAACACACACCATTCGTGCTTTTCCAGCTATAACTTTAATCACAGTAAATGTTTTCGGCCAATTTACAGGCCTGTAAACTGATCGGAAACAAGAACTTTATACTAAAGGTTTTCTTCAATAAAATTAATCGATTCTAGACTAATTTGACTCAACATTTCCAAAACACGTATGGATTATTCCCAAAAAATTATACGTGTTTTAAAAATGTTGAGTCAAATTAGTCTAGAATCGATTAATTTTATGGAAGAAAATCTTTCAAACAGCCGTAGTCCGTAAACTACACCGTGACGGGCTGTGATTGGCTTATGTATTTAAGGATTCCTATAACGTGAAATTCTTATAAAGTGGAATGTATCTACTGCGTTATAGGAGGGTCGACTGTACTGTATTTTAAATTTGTTCTGAAATATTCGGAAGATAACTTTTTCCCACACTCGTTTGGATACAGCATTCTGCAATTGTCGTCATATTTTTTCATTTCTATGTGAAAATTTCCTATATCATAATAATTATTAAAAGATGATAATACATTTTTACATTCGTTATGGAGTAATTTGCTACGTGACCACCCTATGTTTCTAGGGAATCTGTAAAACGACTAGATATCCCTTTGTATCTTGTAATTAAAACAGCCTTACATAGCGCAAATAACACATCTTTCGGCAATTCTAATTATTGTGAAATGTAAGTTCAAAACTTTATATCAATACCCAAAAACGTCACGCGGTACAAATGGAGTGAAGTGAAGTGTAGTTATCTTCTCGAACCACTAGATGGCGGGCAGAAGCTTGTCGCCAATTTCTAGCGGAAGTTTCCACTATTGTCGTAATAAACTATTTGCTAACAGCGCCGCCTACATCGAAATTCAAAACACGCTTGTTGTCGACATTACGGAAGTGCGGCCATGACGGTGCACATAGGTAAAATCTTACCATTCATTCATTTCTTTATCGGTTAAGGTGGCCACACACGTTAATTTAAATAATTGGCTAGTATTAACTTTTAATACAATACAGTAAAACCTGTCTATGGCGACCACCCACGGTTCCTTAAAAAAGTGGTCTTTTAGACAGGTGGTGCTATAATACCGTATTTCCGTACGTATTTTGCGCACTTTTTAGCCATTTCTACTAAGCAAAACTCGAGGCGAGCAAAAATAAGCGAATTTTTTCAACGATATGGCTATATTGGTATTGTATTTTATTCTTATCGGATAACTCGATTTACGAGAGTCGTGGTGATTTTTTTAAGACAGATTTAATACCAATATTTTAAAGATGAATACAATAGTCGCATTTTCTCGATTATATTGTACACTTTCTTTTTTCCGACTGGGTTCTTTTCGTTCGCTCCTCAGTTACGCGTATTACGTCATCGATATACAGTTGACCCCCCTATAACACTGTTGATTATTCCGTTTTATATGAATTCCATGTTGTACGAGTCACTTAGATTTTACAGATACGTGAGCCGTTTACAGCCCGGCACACGTATTTGTAAAATCTAAGTGACTCGTACAACATGGATTTCATATAAAACGGAATAATCAACAGTGTTATGGGGGGTCAACTTATAATATCTCTAAAAGCGCGTCGTATCTCTCCATCACTTTGGTTTTGGTATTCGTTAGTTTAATCTTATTTTAACTTTAAAAATATTTTCTTAAGTATTGATACAATAAGAAAAATTAATTAATTAATAATTAAACAATTTTATTATTTTTTCTCATTATACAATTTCATTACATTCCGCAATTGTCATTGCGGAATCGAAAAAGGAAGGTTGCCTGTAAAACTGATTTTTGCTCAATGCATTTATTGTGTTTTGAATATTTTGCGTGCGAAAATTACTTGGATATTATTTTTCTAAAAGCATCGTGGAAATAAGGTAGGTTGATACAGAAACTATTTATTGCACTTGTACTGTATATGAGCTTAAAAAATAATAAATAAATAAATAAATAAAATAAATTTTATCAAGCGATGAGATCAGCCGATTAATTGTATCGTGTACAATATTTTATACCCCTAAGGAAAATACTGTAAGTCTACGGTAAAATAAATTTCGTTTTCCCACAGTTAAACTTCTCCGCTAATTGCCGTTGTGATAAACCATTTTCACTTTCTCTGATAATTTTAACACGATCTAATGACAGCGCTTTGCATTTTTTTTCTTTTTCGGACATTTTCCAACAAACTGAAATGAATTTCCTTTGTTGCTAGACTAATTTATTAACACCTGAACCTAATTTCGAGGGTGGGAGAAGTGGCCGGGACGGATTCGAATAAGAGTTTAGACTAATTCATTATATTAGGAAGAGGACACGTTGTTGAGTTCTAAGAATAGTTTAGACCACATACATTCGCGAAAGTGGTCGGTTATTACAGGTGTTGTATGTTGTTTCGGACCAAAAATCGATGCCCGCGGTCGCGTTATGCGGGTGGTCGTTTAATACGGGTAACTTATACAAAGACTCTATGGATAAACTATTCGGTGCCAGAAATTTTTGCCCGTTTTGACAGGTGCACGTCGAATTCAGGTGGTCGCCTAAGCAGTTTTCACTGTATATTAATGAAGTAAACCAAAAACAATAAATTCTAGGAAATAACTTTAAACTCGTCATTTTGACTTTAAGTTGCTTTTTCTAGCTACTTCACGTAGGGCCGAGTGGTCAAAGTGGCAGCCTACCTCTTTGGGGGACTCCGGATCGAATCCGGACGGGTCAAGGAATCCACAGGAAAACTTTGGGAGGTGGTCCATTCGGATAAGATGGGCCCTGTCCCTCACCACCCGGTTGCCCCTTTGTGGGCCTGGCCAAACCCATAATCTCCTTGTTATAAAAGGCCCTCTTAGTGCCCACAGGGTGGAAAGAGTACTAAAAAAAAAAAAAAAAAAGCTACTTTACGTAAACAGTAGTGCAGACTTTTATTTTAGAAAAAAATAATTTGAATATGTTCGAATTTGCTTCTCGAAAATAATTTCTATGGGAAACTGCCCCTATTTAGATGTTACCAATGCCAAAACCCAAAAAATTCCACATGGCTTGCCTGCGCAAACCCACAACCAAATAATAATGTTCCATGGTTTTGTCCACTCGATCACCAGTGGCTTATACAACAATCCGCAAATAAATTGGCACGTGAATGTGTCATATTTGAGTTAGCCCCTCTTGGGGTACTTCTGGATCTGCTCCGTGACTACGTATGGCACCACATTGGGAGTATTCATAGTATTTGCAAATAGCATTCATCCATCTCTAATAAATATTCAATTTAGCAAACATTATTTATGATTTTATTTGACAAGTATAATTGGCAGGTATAATTCATTCGTGATTCATTAATTAACTTCATGAATTTTCTGTTGGCTTCAAAAAGTTCTTTTGGCTTCAAAAGCTTCCTCCTTCTAAATCTAAAGGGTTCAATACTCAGCATTCCACAGATGATTTCCTTTAAAATATTGAAAATTGTGTTACCTACTCGCAAAAATCGTTATTTAAAAGGTTAAATTTGAGTCTTACTTTTCCAAAATGTGGTGGAAATCGTTTTTCTTCTTCAACGATGTGGGCAAATCCACCACCGCTTGTTGAAAACTCGACCGAAAAATAAGGTAAACCTTTCGGCACCTAAGATAAAACAAATGCCTTTACACAAACTGAAAAAGACTAATAGATAATTTTGCAAAAATTGCTTTAATGTTTTATATGGATACAATAATTTTGTTACATGCCCATCCTGAACACATAGGAGGATCCAGTGTGTCATTTCTACGTATTGTTTATTACGTAAGATTGAATTTTCTTGATACACAAGTTTACAAATTTTTTTATATGCATATATTTTAAATAAATTAATTTAATTTAAAATATATGCTCTCCACCTCTAATTAGTAGTGAAATGCCCCTGTACACCATACTTTTCCTGTTAGCAAGGGTGTCAAGCCAGTCATCTAACCCCTTTCAGGGGAAAATTTTTGAATTAAAATAACATGACTTCTGGTTAAACCAGTAATATAAATTAAGTTTCTTTTGATAAATGGCAATTTAAAAAATTTAAAGAATTTTTTCGTCTAATCTGGTGTTTGCAGGTGTAAAGGAAGACTGTAATTCAATGATTCAAAATGTAGAATTTTAATTTCATCTACTCTGGTTGATTTCATCCATTATCAAATGCATTCCAGGCCTACAAGTAAGGGTTATTCATTAAATTTGTTATATATAAATACAAAATTAGTTAAAAAATATCTTTTAAATAATCTTAGTTACTGATGAATGGCAGTAACCAAAATGCATCTAATAATGCATGAAATCAACAGTAAATGAAGTTAAATTTCTGTTTTTTAGATCATTTAATCACCAAAAGAGTTCCTTTACATCTACACACACAATTATGGAATTTAGAGAATTATTTAATATATATATATATATATAAGTTCCTTTACATCTACACACACAATTATGGAATTTAGAGAATTATTTAATATATATATATATATATAGTCAGCGATTCCAACAATAAAGGCAATTTAGGTCTTTTTTTCTTTCTTTGGGTAGACACGGGAATTATAATTATATTTGCAGATTAACTTAAACATTAAACTTACCGAATGAAGAAGATCTTTCTTGTAAAGATCAATTAATTTGTTGTTAAGTGACCATTCTGTTTCAGATTCCATAATGGCTTTCTAAAAAAGAATAAACAAATGTTTCAGAAGCAATAACAACAAACATTATATATGGACAGTACTTATCATTTGTCAATAATTAATGTAAGTACATAGATATAACAACTATACTGAATACAAATATTATAGAGCGTCGTTTATCCGAATCAATTGGGGGACTGGAATTGTTCGGATAACTTATTTTTCGGATAACCAATTATGTACAAAAAATATATTAACCTATTCCATGTTGAAATTTTTCTCTGTTGCGTGTCGCTTCGCATTGAATTTTCGTCAATATTAAGCCTAATGAAAACTTTCTAAAATAATAATCGTGGCTATTGTATCGTTAAAAATTATTTTTTTATTTTGTACAAACAAAATAAATATATTGAAAAATATAAAAACCAAAAAAAAAAATATACTTTAGAAGTTGATCTAGTATCAAAAACATTTGATTTGGCTCAACACTGTCCTCAGAAAAACACCACACAAAAGTGCCAGTGCTGCCAGCTAAAACACACATCAACAAAAAAAAATATTGGAATAGCCCAAGATATAGCCAAAGATTGCAGCACCACAGCACTAGCGAAAATTTAAATTTGCCGACTGGAATTATTTCGGATAACCGACGTTTCAGATAACTGATTAAAGAGATTTTGAATTTAATTTTAATCAAAACTTTTGATAAAAAATTAATTTCAGTAATAAATTTTTTCAGAAATCTTAATAATGTTGCTAAATATGGTATTTCATATTAAAATCATTAATTCATCTCTAAACACTTAAATATTTATAATTGTAAAATTTATTTTATTGTTGATACTATGAATACTTAGTATTGACAATAGATGTTATGAATACATAGTATTTGTATTAAATTTTTTAAATATAGTTGTTGTGATTTGTTGCTAGGAGGCAATAGTAGCAAATGTGGCACTAAGCAAATGTGAAAAGTCATCTTGTGTGTTGGAATATGCAAGAACCTTGCTTGTTGTAATTGTACAGCAGCAATTTTGGGCATAATTCCATAAGGAGCCACCCATGTAAACATCCTGAAATAGTATGTAAAATTCCAAGATAAAGGCTATTTGTGCACTGCCCCTTGTCCTCAACGCTCAGGACCAAGTGAACAAACTGTGGATTGTGTTCGACAAACCTATGAGCATAGCCCCTGCAAGTCTACACATGCAAGATTAGAAGTTGGTACCTTGCCTGGCAAATTCTCTGCGAGAGACTGAACTGACATGCACATGGAAGGAAATGGATTATCAGCTAGACATCTGTCACATCAGCAAAGATGGACACATTGAACATTTATGACTCACATAAAAAACCTTGAAGAGTTTACCTTTATTTCAATGTTAAAAAATATAGTATCAGTTGTGCAGTTTATGAATAATCCTGTACAATATTTGATGTTATGAAGTTCAAAAAAGGCAAATGATTTTACACTGAAAAGCATACATGCTTTGGAATGAACCATTCAATTTTTAAACTTTTAACATTAACATGTTAAAAGTTTAATTTATGTTATGAACTAATTAATAAAAACACTACCCAAACTGGCATTAAAAGTAAATTGTAAAGTTTGTAATTGAAGTTTGCCAGTAGCAGACAGCAAGAAAAGTGAATGTTATGGCTTTTTGTGAGAATGAATTAATAAAAAAAAAGTCAAGGCTAGAATCCTAAATCATGTGCTTTGTAGAAATATATAAATTGCAAGGATCTGTAAGCTAGTTTGTTTGATCAAAAAGCATTAGAGACATTACTGTATTTATACAAAGTATATATAATGTTTTCAAAACATTGTCAGTTTTAAACATAAGTACACAATGACATTATTAATAATAAATACCTTAAAGTACATAGGAGCCACATCACCATCTTCTTTTGGCACAGGAATGCATTCAATAAAACAATGAGGGTGCCATCGGTGATGTATACTTGTCTCCATAAATATAACAGTTTTATCCATTTTGTCAAACATTTTAATCAGGAATTTCTTTAGGGTCTGTTTTAAATTAAAATAGATATAATAAATATGATTTCTGAAAGATTAATAATTAAACTGATTTTAACTACATTCAATACAATCAAACTTACATTAAAACATTATAGATTACACTACAGTTAAAATTCTTTGTTATTTTAAGTACTTAGAATCAATATTAAGATAAAACAGGCCACAAACCTGAATTTCAGACCAAACATCTTTGTCTAATAATGTACCAGAAGTAACATGATCCATTGGAACAATGTAGCAATGATAATCAACTAACGATTGGCAACCGGGCAATGATAAGTACACCTATAATTGTATATTTATGCATGTATTAATGAGTTTTGTTAATTAAATATCTTAACAAAAATAAATCACTTATATTTACTCTAATATTTGGTAAAGATATTATTATATTGAAATAAATATCTCTATATAAGTAAAAAGTGTTCAGATTTTAAAGCAAATTTTTTAAAATTACCTAAAAGTTTTTCCTTTTAATCATATAATAAATGACTAAAAAAACTTTTAATCAATAATTACAGTGTTTCAATAAAAATTAATTAAAAACAAATATAGTTTTATCTTTACACGAAAAAATAGAACAAATTGCAGAATAATTTTTGTTTATTCCAGAAATTTGAAATTGGAATGGAATATATGAAACTGACAATATTTGTTATCTTTAATAATGTATTTTTGCTAAACTAACTTTTGTAGTAAGTTATATTGGGAAAAAAATCACACACAACATATATATAACTCTAAAATTTTAACAACATTTACAGATATAATTATATTTTCGATTAATATATTAAAATCAAAAAATACTAATAATTTATTAACTTAAAATTCTCCATAAAGTATGATAAAATACTTTTTATGAGAAAGTAAAGATTAAAAAATTGAAAAGAGTACAGATTTCAAGAAATTTTTGATGATATTTTCAAGTCTAAAAGTATCTCTTAATTTGTAGAAATATTAGCAACTGAAATCCATTAAGCAGTTTATACTACTGTTGTAACAAAAACAACAACAACAAAATTTCACCTTGAGTAGATAAAAATAATAGGAGTTACAGAGAATTCACTTGCATACATGTGAACAGATTTGGGCTTTTATATTAAAATAATATTAAAATCTTTCTTTACAAAATTTCTTTATACACTACATTCCGAGTAAATACACTGAGAATCCAGGAGCTGTCTTTCTATAATTTTTAACAAAAAGACGCATTTTAGAAAGTCTTCTTTATCTCCGCCCATTTCCCACAGAGTTAAAATTGGAAAGAATATATCAAATGTTGACTTGACTGTCAACAGTCGACGATTTGAACCAAGTCCTTTCCCCTCACATCGACTCATGAAAATAATGAAAATTTGTTAAAACAATCAATTTTCTCACACTTCACAATTAATCTAGTCCACAAAGAAAATCTAAAAACAATTGAAGGAAATACAAAACCTGGGAATTGACTTTGTTTAATTTTTATTCTCCAGGTATGATCACCTGACCAAATTCCAACACCAGATGGGGATACAACAACCAGACAACCATTCATCGAAGCGATCGTTCTACAAGAATCTGACTTTTTACTTTGTGACGTACCCTCCAACGCAAAGAAGTTCCTATAGATTTATCTATAACACTGTGAAGGGAGTACGTGTCATCCCAAGTATCTCTCTGGTTCTCTCTGAATAATTAGCCTACGAGGTTACGTTCCATGCTGCCCAGAGGTATGCAAAATAACCAATCCTATGCACGATCTCTCTTTCTCGGTCAGAAATAGCTATTGGTAGCAATAACGGTAACTCACTCTAAGTATTTGTACTAGATTACACACAAGGAATACAATTCCCCCAGATTTGTATTTGTAATGTCTTAGCTTTATTAAACTTGTGTTGAATTTTTATCAATGGTCGATCTTTCTCTAGTATTGCAAGCATCTTATCAATGACCTCACTAACACTCCCACTTGAACTAGAAATTAACATAACGCCATCCAGTGACACCGTGAGTAGATCTCATGGATCTGTTGCCGATCACAGGGATTTAGAGCTTGACACACTATCCCCTGGCTTCTCACAACTCTATTGTCTTTTAAAAGATTTCCTTGCCGTCTTCCTTTAGTAATAGACACCTGAATATTGTTTCGATGATTGATGTAATGCTGTTTTTACAATCATTGAGAAAGCCATTCTTACTCAATGTTGCTCAAGTTGGACTTCACAGCCTTCAGGAGCCTCGGTTGTTCTTATTCTTTCAGATCTAGAATTTACCTGACCAATTTTACTCTTACAGTTACTCTAGGTTTTTTGCTATTTTGTCGAAAAAAAACCTTTAATTCCATGTTGATAAAACAAAGATGAATTACATGTACTTAGTTAGATAAGCAATAACAGTTTCTAAATAACAGGCTCATTATATCATTACTTCTGATTAAATAATATAATATCACATGGTCACAATGGAAAGATATTTAAAGAATTTATTATAGAAGTGACATGATATGTCTATCTTTTTTAAAGTTTAAATTTAATGAAGTAAGTTTAAAATAGGCCACTGCCAAAATATTTAAAAATGCAACTTAAGGGAAATTTCCTCATTAAGCATGAACTAATTGAGGTCACTGACATCACTGCAATATAAGAGTTAACACCAACCCAAAATTGATAAAACTATAGCCTATACTTTTCATCACAACATAAAATGAATATAACCAAAATTTCATCTGGATTGGACTAAAATTGCAGGAGTTAAAACAAATTCACATTCACACTCACTCACACAGACAGAAACATGCACGAGGGAAAGACACACAAACAACGGTTCTTATATTAGCAATAATTTCCAAAAAATTTCAAACCTAATAAAAGTTTGCATTGACTTTTGCATCAAAACTAAATTATAAATTAATAATTAACTGATAAAATATTTCCAGATATTTAACAAAATTTTAAAATAATAGATATTATTTTTGAAACAATAACTGTTTTAATTAAACAATTAATTTTACACAACAGTTTAATTCAATTGCTTTACAAATATTCAACTACTTACAGTTTTTCCAAGAGAAACGATTAAATGTTTCTTCATATGGGAACTGTCTAAACAGAACTGACACTTCTTCAGAGCCGAAGATCTTCTCATGTGTTCTGTAAATAATTAAAAATTATATTATTTTAAATATATGACATCATACAAAAATAAAAGAAATGCAATTTAAAATAAATTCCAGCAATAAACTTATTGTATTAAACATACAAAAAAACTATTCTGATTTTATGTACAACACAATTTTTGATGCTATACATTTGTAGTTCTCAACCCTTCTGAGGTTGCGGAACACCATTCAGATACTTTTTTTTAGCATCAATGTGTTCAAAAATTGACAAACAATTCAGAATTTATTATTCTCATGAAGCAATAAACTAATAAACTTTATTGTCTGGTATAAAATAGTAAACGTGAAATTGTCTATCAATAAATTAATCTGTTGTAATAGTACATTTGAATAAATTTGCAATAAAAACTTTAATGGATATTTATTATTATTTTTAATTCATAAATGTTCTTTATAGCTTTCCAATTATTTTATTTGTTTATGGCAATGCAACACGAGATCTGCCAAGGGGAATGCCTCCCAGGAGAACTTTCTGTGGGAAACAGATCCTTATGTGAGATCAAGAGCACGATTTTTCTCTAATTTAAAGAATTTTTAACCCTTTTCTCCATCTCAATCATTAAGAAAACATCACACAGAAAAAGGATTGAATGTCACCCTTCTCATCAACAACTGTTAAGAAATTATAACAATCTATTGTTAAAAAATGAGAATGTCAACATTCGACCAAATAAACAGGATGAATCTAACATTTCAGAAACCAATTATTACACTATCTGCCCCATTTAGACGACATCTTATTGTTTTCCTTGGCCACTTATGACCCAATACCTGCAAAACCAACCTTCGTCTCCAAAAACATTCGATCACCTGATCCCAGGCAAAAAGAGAATATAGACAATACACCCCAACTTTGGGGCGATCATCAATTGGGAACAACCTCTCTCCGATCAGATCATCCCAAGAAGATCACCACTGACTGAACCTTGATCATGAAAAAGGAAAAGAAGTAGAATGCTTCACCTACTTTTGTAAACTCTCTCTCGGCTCCCGTAATATGTTATCAGTGAATTTTAGTAAATAAAATAAGCTCTCCCCTTTATATGTGACTATTTACTCATTATTATACCCAACTCCTGTAACCTTAGTTTAAATTTTAGTTATTCATTAAAATTTTATTCTTATTAAGTTTGTTAATGGTGTCTGTTACTCTGGTATCAAAGCATAAAATACCCAAAGCAGGAAATGCCATCCACAGACAATGTGAGTGGTTTTTGCCAAACAGTTGCCGGGAAAGGGTTAAGGCACATGCATTAACCTCGGTTCCTCACACTTATTTAGGTGTTACAAACCCAGAAAACTCCAAATGGTCAGCCCATTGGTGAGCTGCAAACTCATGACCAGTGTCCAGTGATTTCATCCACTTGGCCACTGTGAACGTATCTTTTTCAAAAATGAATTTAATAAATTAAAGATTTCCTAAATAAAGAATTTTATCTTAATAAAACATTTACATTATTCAGTTTCAAATTATATGTAAGTATAATTTACCATGTATCGCTTGGCTTCTGTCACGATATTCTTGTTTTATTCGAGGCTCTATTTTGGCTGCTTCGAACAAAAAGGATTCGTCATCATCGTTCTTTGATTGCTAATCAAAACATAAAAAGTTTAATGAAAAATATGTGTATTAAAAGTAATTTCTGATGATAATATTGGCTATCAATACCTAAAATTTTTATGTTGTATTTTGCAAAAGTGATTTCAATATAAAAAATTAAAACTAAGATCTATTAATTATAATAATTATTATTAATTAATATGTAATTCATATAGCATTATATGCTTGCTGTAGTATTTAATAACAACTAGTATATAATTGAAAAAATGTTAGAAGCTTAAACTACTATGTTATGAACACACAACAATTACAATGCTCATTTAACACACTGGTTAAAACATAATAACCAAATGATTGTACAGTACATTATTAGCCACATGTTAAGACTGACAGTGAGAAAATAACTTAAAGATGCTTATTTACCCAAAGATACTGATGACAATAACAAATACTCAACACAATAAACAAATTCTTATATAGCATATTTTTTGGAACTTGCTAATTTTGATAACATTAAACAACAGATAACAATATCCATAATTACAATCAGCAGATTTCATCGTAATTACAATGGTTAAATCCAAAATTTTCATTATAAAATTTATATTTTTATAACATTTAAGTGCACTTTTCATCCAATATAANTTCATCCACTTGGCCACTGTGAACGTATCTTTTTCAAAAATGAATTTAATAAATTAAAGATTTCCTAAATAAAGAATTTTATCTTAATAAAACATTTACATTATTCAGTTTCAAATTATATGTAAGTATAATTTACCATGTATCGCTTGGCTTCTGTCACGATATTCTTGTTTTATTCGAGGCTCTATTTTGGCTGCTTCGAACAAAAAGGATTCGTCATCATCGTTCTTTGATTGCTAATCAAAACATAAAAAGTTTAATGAAAAATATGTGTATTAAAAGTAATTTCTGATGATAATATTGGCTATCAATACCTAAAATTTTTATGTTGTATTTTGCAAAAGTGATTTCAATATAAAAAATTAAAACTAAGATCTATTAATTATAATAATTATTATTAATTAATATGTAATTCATATAGCATTATATGCTTGCTGTAGTATTTAATAACAACTAGTATATAATTGAAAAAATGTTAGAAGCTTAAACTACTATGTTATGAACACACAACAATTACAATGCTCATTTAACACACTGGTTAAAACATAATAACCGAATGATTGTACAGTACATTATTAGCCACATGTTAAGACTGACAGTGAGAAAATAACTTAAAGATTGCTTATTTACCCAAAGATACTGATGACAATAACAAATACTCAACACAATAAACAAATTCTTATATAGCATATTTTTTGGAACTTGCTAATTTTGATAACATTAAACAACAGATAACAATATCCATAATTACAATCAGCAGATTTCATCGTAATTACAATGGTTAAATCCAAAATTTTCATTATAAAATTTATATTTTTATAACATTTAAGTGCACTTTTCATCCACTTATCATTTTTATAATAATGAAATTTATTAAAATGTTTTACAGTTATGCTACAATTCAAAGCATTAAAAAAGAAAAGTTCTCAAGTACACTCACTGCCATAAAAATTAGCACACCAAGGAGTTGTTGTATCACTGTGAAACTTGGCATGAAGATAAGTCTCAAGCAGATACAGAAATTATTAGAGTTATAGCATGATGGCTCATTGTATAATGCCAGCAGAGGGAGTTAAACTGTCTCCCCTTGGCCTAAAAAACACACACAAAAACATCCTGTCTGTAGTTTACCTGTTGTATCACTAGAGATGCCTTTACGTTGCACACGAAGACCATATAAACAACTAACCAAGTTTGAGAGGGGAAGGATCATCAGGTTGAGCGAAATCACATGGTCATCTCGCCAAATAGCACATCACCTAGGCCATTCAGATAACACTGAGATGTTGGAACCAGTGGATGAAAGACAGCTCACACACACATGGCACCAAGACTCAGGGTGCTCTTGGCACATCACTTGCTGAGAGGACTGCCTGGTCCTCTGACAAGCATGCACATAGCCAATTGCATCATTGTCTGCCATCTGAACACAGATGGTGCCATCATTACAGGTCCCTTTGTCTGTCTGTACCTGGGTGAGAAACATTTGTTATCATAGCAGCCATTATGTGTGCTGCCGTCGACACCACCCACCATCGCCTCTGTTTGGAGTCGTGTCGCTCCTGATGGGATTGGACTGCAATGAAATGGAACTGGGCCATCTATAGTGATGAATCCAGATTCAGTTTGGACACTGATGATGGTTGTGTCCTGCAGGCCCCATGGAAAATTGCTCAATCCTGCCTACACTTTGGAGTGGCACACCATCCCACAGCTGACATGATGGTCTTGAGTGCAATCACATATCACAGCCCAGCAGTATGTTAGTGACATCCTGCAATTAGATGTTGCCTTTCATGGCAGGGCTCCCAAGAACCATTTTCTAACAGGACAATGGGCAAGCATTGTCCTGTTAGAAAATGGTTCTTGCAAGAGTGTCATATAACTGCCTCTGCCACATTCCCTGTCCAATTTCTCACCAATTAAACATATCTGGGATCACCTGGAATGCCAAGTTGCACAGCCTAGTAGTTTCACCAAGCTAAAGAACCACTTGCAACAACTGTGGACTGAGATGCTGCAGGACACCATATGGCTTGTATGCCTTCATGCCTGCCCATTTTAAATCATGTATCATGCTAGAGGTAGCTCAACAGATTACTAGAACCACCTTTCATTTGTAGTTTTCCTTCAATAAATTATCCTTTTGCTTTCATTTTTTAATCACTTACTTATATATCACTGTTATTCTCGTACATGTACAATTTCGTTCGATTCAGATAACTCCTTGGTGTACTAATTTTTATGTCAATGAGTGTAAAAGTAACATTTAAAAAATTTGAAAACAATTGCAATGCAATGAACACTTGCTAATCTGAATCTGTATTTTATTTAATCCAAACCAGTGTCATTCTTTTCTACTCTCTTTATTGAATTAATAATAAATTTTATATGATTTTAAATTGTTTGTAATTTATAATACTGCATATTTTAAATAAATTAATTTATTTAAAATATGCAGTATCTCATAATAAATAAATAACAAATTTTTATGACTTCTTTCAAGACATTTCTGCTACAATTTAATAAGCTTTGTTTTGTTAAAACTAGAATACATTAAAAACAATGAAAAGCATTCCTAGTAACAGCATGTCTGGGTTTGTTACAAGCAAACCCAGACATAAAATATGCTTTTTAAAGGAAAAATTTATGATATAGTCTTATTAGATTCAAGTGTTTAACAATTTCCTTACAAAAAATGAATATGTTTTAAAATTAATACAAGCTACACATTTTACCATCATACAGTAGTCTTCTTCCAAAATGAATACTACCATTTTAAATTACTATAATTATGTCAATTATATCTGAAAAGTATGCTATATATACCAAGTGAGAGAGTAATTGTCCAAAGTTTCATCTCCCATCTGCATTCAAATGTCTTATTGTCTGCTACCTGTAGGAAGTGCTTTAAATGAAAATGGCAACTTCCATAGAGAAGGCAATGTGTTCTGCAGTCTGCAAAGTCAGAATTGCCTATCATTGTGTGAAATGACTTTTTGCATGAGCTGNTGTTTAACAGTTTCCTTACAAAAAATGAATAAGTTTTAAAATTAATACAAGCTACACATTTTACCATCATACAGTAGTCTTCTTCCAAAATGAATACTACCATTTTAAATTACTATAATTATGTCAATTATATCTGAAAAGTATGCTATATATACCAAGTGAGAGAGTAATTGTCCAAAGTTTCATCTCCCATCTGCATTCAAATGTCTTATTGTCTGCTACCTGTAGGAAGTGCTTTAAATGAAAATGGCAACTTCCATAGAGAAGGCAATGTGTTCTGCAGTCTGCAAAGTCAGAATTGCCTATCATTGTGTGAAATGACTTTTTGCATGAGCTGCACAACTATGGCTGTTGTCAAATGAGTGACACAATAGTCATATTCATATTCTTCTTATAGTGAGCATAGAAAAAATATAAGTATTGAATGCATGTAACAAAGTGCACACATTGAGAAATTGTAATGGAAAATGTAAATCTTGGATAATTTTTCAATATTTTAATGTACATTCCATCATTCTTGGATAATAATTAACATAATTACAACTATTTAAAACAGCAGCATTCTTTTTGGAACACCCTATACTTAAAAACAGATTTTTAAATACGTGTTTCCTGTAATAGCCTTTTGACTTTTCTTTATACATAATTCCCCTAATTAAAACTTTTTTATATAATTGAAAAAACTTGTACAATAATCACTTTATATTAATGAAAGTGTACTACTGTATATTGAATTACATGTAATAATTAAATTTCTGTAAATCAACTAAAAAAAACTATATTTTAAGCAATTTATAGTATATTTTAATAACAATATTTTTGATTTAAAATGCTATTTATAAATATAAACATAATTTTAAACTATATTCTAGATGTGACTAAAAATTGGATTTTCCCGGTAAAAGTATCACCAATTTCCATAAATCATGAAGTTGCAAATGTATTAATATACCATATATCAGGTGATCAAATGAATTCAAGAATACTGTGAGGAGTTTGACAATATTGTAATGCAAGTCAGATTTGGTCAGATGAGCACAGTCTGTTCACAGCATCATCAAACTTCTCACAAGTTCTGTACCGTCACAATGAATAAATGTATATGACAGCTGTCACGATTTTCATGAAAGATATGAACGTTGCAAAATTAACGGAATGTAAAAGTGACTTCATTAAAATTTATGTAGGTCAAACCTTCTTAGACTATGAAGTGTAAAAAATTTGACAACAATAAAATTTTGTATTATGTGAAGTGCCATTTTCAGCATCGACAATTATAAAATCAAAATGTCAGTCATCCCTTCAGTAACTACACCAGCATTAACCACAATACACAACCATTTATCACGCAGTAAACATTTATTATTCTAATGTATTTGGTCTTCTAAATCAACCTTCTTCAGGAGACATCCAAATTTTACAATTTAAAAAAAAAAAAAACAAAACCACTTATTCTATAATGGTTTATAATATTTTATATTTAGAACAAGACAAATTTTTAAAATGCACATACTAGACTTTCACATGTGAAAGTCTAGTATGTGCTTTCTAATTTATACTTTATAAATTTTACTTCAGTACTTACAATCTCTATACTAGCAAATTAATCACTACCCTGTAATTGAAATACTATCTTTCCTAATGTGCTGTTAATTAGCTTGCTTTTAGATTTTTATCAAGTAACACTTTCCATGCAGCTGAAATCGTAGCGTTCTCTCTATAATTTACTGCCTGCCCCTCTCTGTTAAGCTTATGCTTCCACATATTTAATATATCACTTCTTCTGCACCTTTTGGATTATTTCTGTTTGATTCCAGTCTACTGCTACAGAATCTGCATCTGTTATTGTATAGGTCACTAAGGCTGTTCCTTCCAGATGTTATCTTTATGCTATTTTATCCTGTCTAGTGGCTCTTGTTTAGCATAAGTCATTATGCTTCCTGCTTTCTTTTACTGGTATTCCCAGTAGTGCACATCAGGTCAATAGCCACTTTGTCATTTATAGCATTTTGTATATACCTTTTAACTGTATTTAAAAAGATACCTGTGATTACTTTTAAATACAGTTTTCCTGTTAGTAACAATCCTATTTCTCTACAAACATTGCAGAGGGGTATCATGTATTCCACGACTGCATATCCATCCTGTTTGTAGTATCTTCTTGTCCCCCTATCTCCTGTCCTCCATTTGTTGATCATTCCTTTTATCATTTTATGCTTGAAGCACAATCGCTTTGATGTACTTTAACTCTCTTATCCTGTCCTGTATGTTAGTGCAATGTGTATATGTTTGTTTTATAAGAGCTACAAACATATAGCTCACTGGGATATGTAGCTCAGGTTATAAATATTGGGTTGTAAGTCAGCCTCCTGTAAATATCTTTGATGACCCCTTTAACGTGAACGAGATGTTGAGGAAGTGCCACCACAATCACTTTCATACTCCAATTCTATTTTCAAGCCAAATGGGTTAGAATTAATATCTTTGACAAATTGCCTGATATTAGGTTTCTTCCTCTACATTAATAATACATTGTCTATATAACACACATACAGAGCAACATTTGTCTCTATATTTAGGTATGGTTCCACTCTCCAATGACCTCATGATCATCTTGCACAGGGTCCTGGATATGGGATTGTCCATGGTCACCCTGTTCTCCTCGTAAACCAGCCCACTGAACATAAAAAATAATATGTAGCTAGGTGTGCCAACTCCAGCATTTCTATACACAAGCTGTCTGAATTGCTGATTTTGTTCATTTGAAAGTTTCTCAAGTGGCAAAACGTGGTTCCAGCTTGATTGAGGGGTACAGTGTTTTGAAATCCATAACCATAATAAACTCATCTCTCAGCTCTAAATTCTAGAGCTTCTGGATTAGATCTAGCAACTGCATTATGCAGTATTCATGCACTGACAAATCTACTGAGCATGTGTCCCAACAAAATTGTAGATGAACAACACGTCTAAAACTGGTCTTATGCTTTTCCTAGGTTTGTCACTTTTTGCAAATCTGAATAATCTTGGTATTGAGAGAGAGGCAACTGCTATTTTCTCCATCCTAAGTTTTCTCACTAAGGTCATGGTGGCAAATCTCTTGACCTTTGCTTGTAGATGGTCAACAGTATGCAGATGGCATGCTGTGCATTGTGTCTCATTGATGTATTCTGTTACAAGCTCATTATTATTATTAGCATAAGTCATTATGCTAATAATAATGAGCTTGTAACAGAAAAACATATCTTTCGATTTGTCTGCCCATACTAACACTACATTATTTTCTGCCACACCTCTTTTGCTATCCCAGACTTCCATATTGAGATGTGGGTAGACGTCTTAAGGTCAATCCTGAATTTAAACGTCTTCCATTGGAAAAAACTGCTTATTTATGTTGCTTAACCCTTCTATTGCTTGTTCAACATCGGGGACAGTCTTCACTATCCAAGGCTCAGGCTGCATTACTAATTCAGGGCATATATGTGAACATGCCATTATAAACACATCTTTCTATTTATTTAGAGAGCTCCTAAAGGTTGATTAAGATTGAAAATGCTAGAAAAAAACATTCACAGCATGATAAATAGTTTTGTTTTGTGGTTAAAAGTCAGTCAATTCTGCAAAATGCTGAAGATGCCTTGCATCCCACAGTATCAATTATTCAGCCAAGATTTAGTTTTTGTATGTAAAAATAAACATGCACATTCATCTCATCAGAATGCAAATTTGCTTTTGTCTTTAATAAAAAGTAAAATAATTTGTATATAAAAGAACTGTTTTATGATTTATCATCAGTAAGTGATTTTATTTTTATGCCTATTTTATATACCTATATACGAGGAGTTATGTAAAATTTTCTCAGGTAAAAGAAGGCTACAAATAGAAAAATTTTAAGAGCTCTGATTTAGTGGAATAAATTCCTGTAATAGTTTGTATTGCATATATTTTGCATGGTTTTCATAAAAAAATAATAATAAAAATCATACATTACAATTACCTTAGCAAACAATCTTGCAAATTCAGCATTTTGATCATCAATAGTTGTCTTCCTTTCTTTTTCAAACTAGAAATTTTTAAAAATATTTATAGGTTCATTAAAAAGTAATTATTATATAATAATCAGTAAACAATTAAAATAGTATGAAAGATTTACAGAAGTAAATATATCATTTAAATTTTAAAATGCTACTGTATTTAACAAGTTTCCTAAAAATATATTTATTTACCATTTGTTTTAAGGAATATTTATCATCATCAGGAAAATAACATGTTCTTTTTCCACCAGCATCATAAGT